TGCAACATTGCATGGACAGACTGCCAGTGAAATATTATGACTCAAAAAATGCATGGTTTACACAGGAGATCTTTCTTTCCTGGTTTCATGACGTGTTCTGCAGGGAAGTTCGTGCCTATCAAATTAAGAAACTCAAAATAAGGCCAAGCGAAGTTCGGGCTTTACTGTTGCTTGATAATGCGCCTGCCCACCCCAGAATTGACACGTTAACCTCACATGATGGCAAGATAACGTGTATGGCACTTCCTCCTAACACAACCTCTCTCATTCAGCCTATGGATCAGGGAGTTATCTGTGCTACGAAGAGGTTGTACACCAAAAAAATGCTAAACGAAGTTTTGGTGGTTTTGCCTTTTCCGGAAGATATTGAACTCGGTGTGGATAACAGGGCTAAAAAAAACCTTCAGAATTTGAAGAACTATACAATCAAGGAAGCCATCTATAACTGGGCCAAGGTATGGAGTGAAGTAAAGGAATCGACTTTGAAAAATTCCTGGAAAAAACTCCTCACGTCTACGGTCAGAAATGATGAAGAAATGGATTTTGAAGGATTTACAGATGAAATCCATGGAATGTTTAGAAATGCCGGCGAAAACTTAGAAAGACAGGATGTGGTTGATTGGCTTGAACAAGATGCCAATGATCCAGGATATGGTGTGATGAGTGAAGACGAGATTCTACAGTCTGTTACTGGTGAGGTGGACGAAGAGGATGAAGAAGGCAGTGAAGAACCAACACCAATGACCACGAAATACAGTACACTCATGACGTATGTTGACGGATTAATAAATTTTTCATCAAATTGTGCTCATCCAGAGGTTGGAAACATGTATCCGTACCTTAGGCGAACAAAAGAGCTGATCATACAACTGGCCAGTGAACACAGAAGGCAAGCAACACTTGATTCATATATGGTACGAAAATCAAACCAAGCGCCTTCAACAAGTGAGGCGGCACGCGCAACCCAAGCGCCTTCAACAAGTGAGGCTGCACGCGCAACCCAAGAGCCTTCAACAAGTGAGGCGGCACACGCAACCCAAGTGCCTTCAACCAGTGAGGCATCCTCAGCAGACAGTGAGAACTAACTTTGCCTAATGAACTGTACAGTATTTTTAAGTGTTAATTTTAGTGTTGTGTTACTATAAGTTACGTAAATTGTCAAGAATTTTTAACTTCAAGATGAGTCATCAATCAAGAAGACGAACAACAAAAAGGTAAGTTGAGGTTTCTAGTTGAATATTTAATAATTATATGTTGCATGTCTGGCCACAGGAACCAAATAAAAGCTGGTTTGGCTGGATGAAAATACGGCCATACCGTATTAATCCCGTCTGTGGCTCTAGACGCATGGTGGAGGAGGGGGGTGGGGTGGGTGGGTGGTGTTGGGAGGGTGGGAGGGGTGCGTCAGGAGGGACCACCTGGGTACAGGAATTACCATTAATTTTAGAACAATTAATCATAGCCAAAAACAAATGAAATAACTACTAGTAATTATGTAATAACAAATAAATAAGTTTCCTAAAAGCATTGTGCACAGGCTGAAGTTTCCTTAAAAAATATTGTGAATTTTTTTCCTCCTGGCGGCCTACGTAACGCGCTATCCCAAGTGGACCCGTCCAACACAGGTCAACCCATGTGCGTCAGTCCCTCGTGTTATACACAGTGCTGCGCCATTAGTGAAATATTTTTTTAAATAACTTTTTTATTTTCATATTAACTTTGAACATTTTTGGCCAAGACTATGTCTGGTAGCAGCATCAATCGTTCTGGAAGTGTTAAGAGGAAGAAGATTGTCCTAGCAATTAAAGACAAGTTATGTGTTGTTCAAACAGTGAGGCGTCACAGGCAGCCAAGCGCCTTCAACAAGTGAGGCGCCACAGGCAAGCCAAGCCCCTTCAACAAGTGAGGCATTACAGGCAAGCCAAGCGCTTTCAACAAGTGACGCGCCACAGGCAAGCCAAGCGCTTTCAACAAGTGAGGCGCAAGCAAGCGCCTTTAACAAGTGAGGCGTCACAGGCAAGCCAAGCGCCTTCAACAAGTGAGGGCATGCAAGCGCTTCAACAAGTGAGGTGCAAGCAAGCGCTTTCAACAAGTGAGGCCTCACAGGCAACCCAAATGCCCTCAACCAGTGAGGCTTCAGCAGCTGGCAGTCAAAACTAACTTAGCTTAATGAACTGTACAGTAATTTTAAGTGTTAATTTTAGTGTTGTGTTAGTATAGGTTACGTAAATTGTTAAGAATTTTTAACTTCAAGATGTGTGGCATCGATCAAGAAGACGAACACCAACAAGGTAAGTTGAGGTTTCTAGTTGAATATTTAATAATTGTATGTGGCAAGGCAATTCAAATTATGTTGTTTGTAGTATAAAAATAGTTGGAAATGGTCACTTTTGGACTCGTAGGTGAAAAAGTACCATTATCCGAAAAACGTGCTAATCCGGCTGGGGGTCCTTCCCATATAGTCCGGATGATCGAGTGGAGACAGTAGTTTTAAAATACTCCCCCTTTATATTGTGAACAATTTGATATCAAAACGAGCGACGTAACACGAAATTTGATGTTAACAAACTGAATGAGTATACACATTAGGTTGCAGGTGTGCCACTTGGTGCTCGTTCACGGGTAACTTTAGGCTTTGCTAAGGGGAGTCACACCGGGCTTTTGGACAATATATGCATATACATCTGCAGGGAATTTAATTGCGAACACAATGATACCAAAACGAACGACGTAGTATGAGAATTAAGGTGAGAAAACTGAAACGAGCATACACATTTTACTGATTTTGTGAGCTCACGGGTAACTTTTGCTGAATTTAGGCTTTGCTATGGGGAGTCACGCCGGGCTTTTGGACATTATATGCATATACACCTGTAGGGAATTCTATTGCAAACACAATGGTACCAAAACGAACGATGTAGCACGAGAATTAAGGTGAGAAAACTGAAACTAGTATACACATTTCGGTGTCGTCGCACTCTCGCCCACACCGCCGGGGGCGTGACGTCAAAGTTTCCGGCGCGCATGCCCGGGGCATGAAAGTGTTAATGTTTTAACCATTTAACTGCGCCAGCCGAGTATTCTCAGTCGGCGGGAAACTGCGCCAGCCGAGAAAACTCTTTTTGATTTTTCCGTACCCATTCTAAATGTGTGCGAGGTTGGTTGTGTATGAAATGGACTCTTATGACCCTCCAGTGAGAGGCAGCCATCTTGGAAAAAATTCCCAGAATGCCCTAGGGCTGCTGGCTGGATTAGTACTGAATGAGCAACCATGGGTAGCGCACGTGCTCCTGGCTCCCAAACACCTGTCCGACGCGATGTTGAAAGATAACGCTCTGTCGGTGAAATTCAAACCTTATTGTTTGTAAAACAAAAGTGTCATAATATTGGTGAAGCTAGGTGCAATAAGGACCTAACACAAAGGTCGGATGCAAGTGATACAGCACCTATGAGGACGATACAGCGAACGTATCCAGTTGTAGTTCTGAGCGTCACCCTTGCAATCCTATGTATCTCCAATTTATTTAGATGATATACAGAGGAATCGTTTTCTGGGTTCAGTGATGATGCATCTGATACAAGTAGCATAGATAAACAGTGTCAGCGGCTTCCATGGTAGTGTTTTCCATAGATATTTTCAAGAATAGCTGAATCTCTTCCTGACTGGCGGACACTTTTTGAGGCTAGCTGAATCTCTTTCTGACTGATGGGCACTCTTTGAGGCAAGCTGAATCTCTTCTTGTGTTGGACCATACAAAGCGATCTTTTCAAGACTACCTTACAAATTGATCTTTTCCTATAATCTTTTCAATACTACATTATGCTTTACAAGCTTGGCTACATAGAACCTACAAGTACTAAAGCCAAGGGTGTATATGAGTGTGTTATTTGCAAGCACACAGAATGAAGAAACAGGAAGCGAAAATTTATCTGTACCTGGTGCAACGAGAGCGAAGTCGCGCTGTGTACCATGGACTGCTTCCTTGATTATTACTCACTTCCGAAGTACTGAGTGTGTAGTACAGTGTGTTACTGTGTAAATACTGTGTGAAACTGTACATATTGTAATTTTAGTGAATTGTTAACAAGAAATATTGCGACAAACATTTATTGTGGACACATTACTGACACATGTATCACAGTTCCATGGAACATTATGAACGTTCTATTCTATACATACTGTAAAGGACACAAATATGCATGCAGGCGATGAGTCACAATAACGTGGCTAAAATATGTTGACCAGACCACACACTAGAAGGTGAAGGAATGACGATGTTTTGGTCCGTCCTGGACCATTCTCATTCTCATGACTTGAGAATGGTCCAGGACAGACCGAAACGTCGTCGTCCCTTCACCTTCTAGTGTGTGGTCTGGTCAACACAAATATGCATCATATACAATAAAAAACTAATAGAACCACATTGGAAATACATAGAATAAATAATTGAAATAATATTTGTGACAACACCCAGTGCTTGAATGGCCCGCGCGACCATATCTGGCCGATTCATGCACGGGCGACCAGGCCCCGATGACATCACAGCACACCTTGTCCATGTCCCCACAGCCAAAGTAAGTGGAATTTGGTATTTATTTTTACATAGACATGTTCAGGGAAGGGAATTTATCCTTTTACGAAGAAAAAAGAATTTTTTGGGACACTTTATTTCATGCGCACAGGGGGAATTTCACAATAAACTCGGTGCAGCACGGTGGTTAAAGGAACATGTTATTGAAGTCAATTACATCTGCTACTTTATAAAGAATTATGATGGAAACGAACAAATTGAACACTATGATGGAAACATTAATGTTGAGCGGAGAAATTGGTTCAGCAGGCATGAATGACAAGGAGGCGGGGCATAAAGAACTAGATCTCACTACCCTGTAATCACTGAGAGAAGAGTACTGATAGGTAAGCACTGCATATTTATAATGAAATATTAAGCTGTATAAACAAGTTATATCATACAATAAAGTATTCTTATTTAACGTACCTTAAAAAAAGTGATGAAGACATGTGAGTCTGAGTTAGCTAGGAAGATGAAAGCTAGGAAGGTGCTGAAGCCTCCGTTGAGAACAGCCGGACCAATGGTGGCAACTGTAAGTCTTGCACGTTCATCCCTCGTGCCTCTCTTCGTCATGAAGGTATGTCCTATGTGAGCAGCATAGTCAACACACAGACCAATGGCTAAGACAATATCAATGCATGAAACAGTGTCAATAGTGAGGCCCCACCAGTGCATCAGCCCACCCATGTCCACCAGTGTCATCATCACGCACACCAACACCATCACACTTGTGCTCAAGTTGGCAATTAAAATAAGTGTCACAATAAATACAACCATCATAGCAAGCCCCATATTTTGATAGAGCTCATTTTCAATAATCTTGTCAGTTTCCCACCCACTGTATGCTATTGAAAAGGGCTGCACATAACCATTAAATTTCATGCTTTGAATAATATATTTGAGGTTGTCCATTGCTTGGATTTTCTCCCTGGACCCTGAAAGGTACCGATGCCTGTATTCTACACTGGATGCTAAGATTGGTGGCGCTGCTGTTGTGCAGTTCAAAGTGCCATCAAAACGAAAATTTCTAACACGAAACTTTGATCCACTAGGAGAGTGGAGAAACATGCCAAGTTTATCAAGAAACTCCATTTCAGTCTCATCTGGATCAGGCACTGAATATCCTTGCTGTTCCCAATAACTTTTATATTTCAAATACCAGCTATCAACTTCACTAATGTATTCACTCTCCTTCATCTGAATCATTAATTCATCAATTTTGGGTAGCTCATCAAAATAATTCATCTTACCAAAATAAATATATCCCATTTCCCCAGATGATGGATAATAATACTGTTGCTTCATAAAAAATTGGAAGAGGTATGAGCTCTGAGGGAGGAACCATATAGGATTAAACTCTTGTCGAAGATTTGAGAGCCCCCATCCAGACACTGCCAAGAGACCTACTGTGATAAACAGAACAAGTATCTTCACAGGCAGTTTAAAAAGGAACTTGGCATAAATATCACTAAAGAAAGTCTGACATAGATCTTTTTGACTACACTGATTAGGAGTCCAATTCTTAAGCTTCCAGCACCATATATATCCATGACGCTTGTCTTCCAATCTTCTCTGGTCTAATGAGAACCACGCGACAAAGAATGTTGCCTGGAAGAAGTAAACAGCAGCAATGCCCACAGCAGCATACAGGCAGAAGGATCTCAGTGCAGGGAGAACTGTCCCACTGCCTATGGCAAAGGCAGCAAAGTCAGTCACTGAGGTAACTGTTATTGAAACACCTGCATTCTTCACAGCAAACCCAATTCGTTCTGTTAGCTTGTGCTTTTTCTCCCGTTGATTAAGATTGTTCCATGCTTGCATTATTACGAACATATCGTCGATTCCAAGCCCAAGGAGAAGAAATGGTAAGACATTGTTTACTGGTCCAAATGGCACATTAAACATGGAACATATTCCATATGATACAAAAATTGACATTCCAACACAGACGAGTCCCATTAGTGATAACAAGGGTCGTTGCTCTACCATATTAAACTTTCCAAGCATGATCTGAATATATATGAACACTACAAGGAAACCAACACCCAAATATTGTATGTCTCCTACTATTGTGTCTTCACTAATCATCCCAAAGCTTGAAGATGCCATGAGATAAACAGATATGTTATCTGGCCTCTCACTTTTATTTAACACAGCTTTAATAAGTTGTTTTTCCCAGTTAAAGCTTACAGTGTCTACCTCCATGCCTGTTCCTCCATCATCCACAAAATCCCCATCATCTACTGCTGTGAGGTTGATGTGAGTAATCCATACTTGCCGTGAAGCTCCAGCTTTAACTAATCGCCCTTCACTGTCCTTCTCAACTTTTCCCAAAAACTGACTGAAGTTTGTTGGGAACCCAAACACAGCACTTGTTTCTGCAGTGTTTATGTCTTCAATAATCTGATCAGGTGTAAGATTACTGATTACCCCTTCATCATACCCCCAGACCTCAAGGATGCTATGTTCCATGCACTTCTGTTCCATTGCCTTCAATAAACTACAATATGTCTCTGTATCGAGAACAGTACTCCAGTCATACCAAGCGTCCTCTTTGTCCTCTCGCTTTACTCTTGACGAGGCATCATGTGTATTTTGTTCTGAAATTATATCTCGGTTCAAGCTCCTCTTTTTACGACCAAAGAAAGAGTTAACTATCGATGGCATTTTGGCACACACCATGTCCCATGTTGCATCTGCTGTTGAAGCACTAGCAACAGCTTCATGAACTCTTAACATCTCCATCAGTACACTTTTGTCCAATACATTTTCTGCTTCATAAATAGAAACATGAATTCGGAATTCAGAAGGGAAATTTTTCTTTTGCCATTCCATCACATTAATAAAATCAGAATCCTGTGGAATCCAAAGTTTGAATGGACGCTCTTCCACAGTGAAGTTAAGTAGGCCTGCAGAAAAGCCAGCTGTCATAATTACACAAAAAATTATGAAAACAGCTGGGCGGAGAGCAATGGCAGCCCCATAAGTGTAGAAGGCGTGCTCTAGACCATTAATAATGTACAAACTGATTCTACTCAATACATTTTGGGATTTGACTTCATTTTCAACACAATTCATTTTATCAGAGTCTGTTCTGATGCCCATCATGGTCTGACATTCATTTCGTGCCATCTCTGAAACCACAAAAATACATAAAATTATTAATTCTTCTCACTTATTCTATACAATTACTGTTACAATGCAATAAAAATCCACAAACTTATATGAAGAACTCCATATGCTCTGGCTATTATCAAAGTAGTGGACTTATCAATTGAAACACGTAGCCATTCAATTTAATGCAAAAATTAAATAAATGAGGCATTAAGATAATTAAAAAACCAGCATTGAATGTAATGAAATGCCCTTTTCTGGGCGAGGCCATGGAGGCTCCCTAAAGCTATCCAAACTTATACTGTATGTGCTATATTAGTTTGAAGTCATCACAGAGTTCCTATGCCTACCGGGAACCAGAGCCAGAACCTAATCCCCTCAGCAAGGCGCAGGGAAGAATGGCGTATGAGCACTTTAAATTTAAAATATGTCATATTCCGCCATTGACCAGGGTGGGCACCCAGAAAGACAGGCAAACCAAACCAAACAACTAGCTGGTAAAATTGCGACCTACAGCCAGAAAGAACAAATACTGTAAACTCCTGTTAAAAGAAAAGAAAAGAAGAAGAAAATAACAGAAACTAGCCACCCTGCCCTCAACTAGTACTTCTACTTGTTAGTGTATCTCCCCCCCCCCCCCTGCACCGGGGGAGGAGGAGCTGGCTCATGCGAACCTGTCCTCACCAATTCAGTTCTAGGCCTGATGTAAAACATAAACACCACTGACCGGAGGAAGGGAGGGCATGAAGGAGACTCTGGGGCCTCGCCCAGATAAGGGCGTTTCATTACATTCAACGTTGGTTTTCTGGGGAAGCCCCGTTGGCTTCCTGAAGCTAACCCACAGAGAAGGAAAAACAGGGACTTACCCGGGAGGGGGCAGCAATGCAGGGTTCAAATCGAAGAAGAGACTGAAGGCCGCGACAGATGCCCCAAAGCAATATATGGCCAGAGAGGGCCTGGAACGATCACTAGATATCTGGCAGTCAGGAGCTAGTTCGATCTTCAAAACCTCCATGCCCGAATGTCAACCCAGAACATTAGTGGTGCACATCACCTACTTCAGTACGTCACAGGCACGAGGGAAGACCGCAGGCAGACTGGACTTGATGACACTGCAGACAATCTGTGACACACGAGCCCTCTAGCATCGAAAAAGGGAAACCAGATTCACCCAAAGAGTGTCCACCATGACAAAATCAGTGGTCTGCATGTAGTGGCGTAAAGCCGCCACCGGATACAACACGTGATGTATCCCCGGCCTAACCAACCAAGCATCCACTCACCAACGGACCTCTTTAGAAGCCTGCCGTCTCATTCATCGCCAGAAAAGGAGAAGGCTGCAACCTAACAAAAAGACCACCTGGACCAAAAGAACAGAACCCCTGGCGCAGGAAGAGAGCATGAAGCTCACCAACCTGAGCCCAGGAGGCCAAGGCCAACAAAAATACTGTAAAGCTGCCAGAAAACAATTACCGACTAAAGAGGCCACGACAAAATGAGGAAAAGAAAGAAAAGAAAGAACCCGATCCAAAGACCAGGAAGGTTCAGGCAGCACATGAGCAGGCTGGAGGTGAAAAAGCCAACCTTGAATGTAATGAAATGCCATTTTCTGGGTGTGACCTGGAGGCTTACCGGAGCTATCCAGGCTGATACGGATATATTAGACTTCTGACATCAAAGTGCATGGAGTTCAGGCCTTCCCCAGGGACCACGAGCCAGAATCTGGCCCCCTCAGTGAGGCACAAGGAGCAATGGCCTATAGAAACCCCGTGTGATTGGAAGCATTCAATATCTGCCATTGACCGGGTCAGGCACCCAGAAAGGTAGGCGCCCCAAAGCAAACCCGCTATTTTGGTGAAAATATTACTACCGAAAGCTGAACGAGTGGACAGACCTCCCCAAATGAAAACTAGCAAACTAGCATGACACCACCACGTTGCCATGCCACTGTCTGTGAACACCCCTCCACCCCCACTCCCTGAGAGGGGAAAGAAGGAGCCCCAGACCCTCATGCTGGCGATCCACACCCCTAGTTCTGAGGCAGGATGTCAAAACGCGCGAAAACACTGCCGACTGGAGGGAGGGAGGGTTGCCGGGGAGCCTCTGGGTCACACTCAGAAAATGGAGTTTCATTACATTCAATGCTGGTTTTCTTAGAGGAGCTCCATCGGCTCCCCGGAGCTAACTACCCAAAGATATTAGGGACTAGGGACTTACCCGGGAGGTGGTCAGACATTGCTCCTCAACTCGAAGTCGAGACAACTGGCTGCAACCATGGACCCAATGCGACACAGGCCCTATGAGGCCCCGGAACACTGACAAGGTAGCGAGCAGCCTGGATCCTGTTCGACCTCCAAAAACCCCCATGCCCGAATGTCAACCCAAGACACGTTACCGAAGACCGCAGCCAAAGCAGCAAACTTATGAACGTCATGGGCACGAGGACAAATCGCAGGCTGGTTAGACTTGATAACCTTGCAGATGACCTGGGAAACCCGCATCCTAGAACAGGGAAGAACGGAAACCGGGTCAACCCAAAGCGCATCCCTGGCCACCAAAGCCATGGCGCGCAGATAACGGCAGCGCCTCAATCGGACACAACACATGATGCACACCCGGTCTGACCAACCAAGCATCAATAATCCAAGGACCCCTTCGGAAAGCGGCAGACTCAATCTTCGCCATAAAAGATGGAGACGGCTGCAAATGAACAAAACGACCACCAGGATTTGGCATATGATGGTCTGACACAACCACGAAAGGAAGTACAAGACAAGATCAGAGACTGAAGTATGCGTACGCAGTGATACGAAAAAATGAAAGGACCGCCAGGCAACTTCATACTGTCGCCGAAATGAGGTACGAAGATGGGAAACCAGCAACGAAGCCACCTACATACCATACAAGTGATGATAGACTCGAGTCAGAAAAACCAGACGCAAAGATTCAAGGAGAAAAATGAACTAGCCTCGTACTGGGCTGAACTGATCTGCTGAAAAAGACGGAGCCGCGGGAAGACCCTCGGGTTTGGACACCAAGCAAGCAGCGCCTGAAACCAAGGCTGGGCCGGCCACCAAGGGGCCAAAAGGACTACTCTTCCCTGATAAGTCTCCAAGTGAGCCAGGACCTGAGGCCAGATTCACAATGCAGTTACACAAGCACTTACGAACCTGTACATCTTTCCTCACTCTTTGATTGCTTTGGTTGAATTTATTAAACAGTTTACAAGCATGAAAACTTCCCAATCAACTGTTGTTGTTGTTATAAACAGCTTCCTGGTGCTTTGGAGCTCATTAACTGTTTAATAACTGTAAACAAAGCCACCAAAGACTGAGAAAAGATTACAGGTTCGTAAGTACTTGCATAACTGCTTCGTGAATCTGACCCCTCGAGCAACAGCTGAACCAGGAGGAAGAAATAAGGTAACCCCACCTCGCCCAGTCCTGCCTGAAGGTGTCGATCTTGACGTCGGGGAAGGGCACCAATTATATAGGGAGGCATCTCAACCCCGCTCACGCGAAGAGGTCCACTTCTGGGGTCCCGAACATCCGGCAGAGCTGACTGAATGGCTTCAACCATCCATTCCATTGAAAGGGGAATGAACCGGGACAGGCCATCTGCCAGGACATTGGACATCCCCCGAGAGTGAACTGCCAGAAGAG